GATGGTCTCCTTGGTTCCAACGGCAACATCAATCACCACCGTCTCGGAGAGCACCGTCGCCGCCGCGTCGGGGATAACGACAATCGTCTGCTTGTCGTCCATGATGAGCGCCGGGCCGGCGATCTTGGTATGAGGCGTCAAACCCGCGAGATCATAAACGGGCGTCTCGGACCAGCCCAGGCCCTTGAAGTAAACCTGCTTAGTTGCCTTTGCCGGCGGCGCGGCTGTGGCCTCCGCGGAAGCGAGCTCCTTGGGCCAAGGGATGGGAAGCTGGACCGTCGTCTTGCCGATGGCGCGAACGCGGTAATCGTCAATAATCACGTCGCGGCCGACGGGCAAGAATCCAAACTGCTTCTGGTGAGCGTCCTTGAAGGCCTCGAGGTACCCTCCGCCTGGCGCGGCCGCCGTCTCCTGGATCATGAGCGGGGTATCGCTGCCCTGGAAGCGCATGTTGAGGTGGCGCTCGGAGACGATGCGTTCCTGTGGGATGCGCTGCATGAGGAGGACGTCGCCGGCTCTCCGGACGAGCTTGTCGAGTTCCGAGGCGAAAACGGCGAGGTTGGCCTCGGTGAAGGTCAGGGCGCAGGGGCTGCGCTCCTCGCTGACGACGTCGGCGAGGGCCATGCCGTAGGCGGAGAGGACGGAGGAGTACTTGTGGACGAGGACGCGAAAGATGCCGAGCGTCTTTGCAATGTCGCAGGCGTGTTGGCCGCCGGCGCCGCCGAAGGAGGCGAGGTTGTGGAGGCCTGCGTCGTAGCCTTTTGCTTCGGTGAGGGTGCGGATGGGGCGGCACATGGACTCGTTGGCGACGTCGAGGAAGCTGCGTGTTGTGTCAGTTCAAGAGTGCTTCCTGTGGAGACCAGTGGTCATAGTATTACTTACCCAGCTGCGGCTTGTTCCACGGTCAAAGTGGTGCCCTCGTCCTTGTTGATGCTCGTCGTGAGCTCTTCAAATAGGCGTCTGCTGGCGTCGACATCCAGGGGCAAGTCCTCATTGGGACCAAAGATCTTGGGGAAGAACTCGGGCCTCACGCGGCCGAGAACGACATTAGCATCGGTGACGGTCAGAGGGCCGCCCTTCCTGTAGCAAGCCGGGCCGGGGTGTGCGGAGGCACTCTCGGGCCCGACTTTGAACATGCCGCTCTGCCAGCTGAGAATGCTGCCGCCGCCTGCCGCGACGGTATTGATGTCCAGCTGCGGGGTCTGGACCATGACTCCGGCCGTCGTGGTCTCGAAGACTTGCTCGAGCTCACCGGCATATCTAGGGCAATGTGTCAGTATCACCTTCACGAAGTGAGATCCTCCTCCATTCATACCTTGAAACGTCAGTACTCGTACCGCCCATATCGAATCCAATAACGGGCGTCTTATCCGCATCATCATAGCACGTTCTCGCATAGCCAACGACACCACCTGCGGGACCAGACAGAATGGCCCTCAGGCCAGACAGGCCAGAAAACTCGACCAAGCCGCCATCGCTCTGCATGAACTCGCACCGGCATCCGCTGTTGGCGAGGTCCTCGAAGCCGGACTCGAAGCCGACAATGTAGCGCTTGATCTCGGGGGTGAGGTAGGCGTCGGCCGTGGAGGAGTTGCCGCGGGGCACGATCTTGACGACGGGGGAGAGCTCAGCGCTCGGGGAGATGTGGGTGAAGCCGATGTCGGCAGCGAGCTTGGAGATGGCCGCCTCGTGGTCGCGGAAGGTGTAGCTGTGCATGAGACAGACGGCGATGGAGCGGTAGCCCTCGTCGTAGGCTTCTTGGAGGGCCTTTCTGGATGCCTCGAGGTCTGTGGGCGTGTGTTTGTATGAGTTTTTGGCTCTCGCTCCAGCGATGTTGATGGACTGAGCTTACCTAGAGGCTCGAGAACCCGGACTGCTTCACCGGTGACGCCGGTGACGAGAGCGGGGTCTGATGAGACGTCGATGGCCTCGGGCTTGTTGTTTTCTGACCATGCCTCCAATGTCACACGTTCTGGGATTTCAATGACTTTGGAGTACAGTACGTCGGGCTTGCGGATGGCGAGATCGAAGAGTTTCGGTCTTGACTGGTTGCCGATGTGCAGGAGATCCTGAAAGCCAATTGTTAAGTTCAAGAGTTCGCGAGATTTGAATTGTTCTGGTGTTACCTTGAGACCCTTGGTCACAGCAAATACTGTGCGTTCTCCTTTCCTCTCGAGGAGAGCGTTTGTAGCTACTGTTGTTCCCATTTTGATAGACTCTGTGTCCCACTGTTAGCGGCGAGTCAATAGCCTGAGGGAAACCCATCTTTTACGTACCAACACCTCGCAGAGATATCTTCTTTCCCTTGGGATATTCCTTTCCTGTTGCCTTCTCCAGGACTCTCCTAATCGCTTCGACTGGGGCATCGGGGTAATTGCTGGGGTCGACTGATAGCAACTTGACGAGGATATCATCTTGATCGGGGACAGATGCGACACACTAAGCTATTAGTTTTCCATCGCCGCATCAAATTTCCAAAGAAACCAAGACTCACGTCGGTAAACGTGCCACCGCGGTCGATGGAGATTCTGATTCCCCCCACGGGGCCCGGAAGTGAACCCATAATGATTAATGACTCTGAGGTTGTGATGGTATTGTTGAAAATAGAGAAGTATCCGAGAGTGTAAGGCTCAGAGTCTCAGATGGATCAAAGAGCACAGTGAAGATGAATGAAATGGAAATGAGTACTATCGGGTTGAGATGTCATTCAGTGAAGCTGGAATTCGCGATGATTATACAAGTTCCCATGAAGGTCGCGGACAGATTCTCGATAAGCCCAAAACGGCAATCACCCGAAACCTTCCCCCACAACTCATCGCCGGAGCTCCCTCGGCAGATGTCTTCGGAGAGAAAGCTAGAGAGTCGTTGAGTTATTCCCACTTGACGTTTGTTGTGGACTCTCCACTTGGTGCATCTCGTAGTCAAGCTGGAAAAGTACGGATAGACAGTGGGAAGTGGAGGCGGAGTGAGTAAAGGAGGGAGTGAGTAAAGGAGGGAGGGAGAGCCCCCCCCCCGTCATCGCAATTAGAGATCCGATGAGCGATGAGATGCGCGGGCGAAATCGAACCCCTCAGCGTCCCCGCGGAGAGAGAGAAGGGGAACAAGGAGGGACGGTCATTGACGGCGGCGGGGTCGGTGGTTCGGCTTCTCGGCTTCGGGAGGGGCAGCCGAAGGGCGGAGCTCCGCTCTGCGGGCGACCGGTGCCTCCTCGCGCCTGTGTTAGCATCATCCTTGGTCTAAATGGTCTCAGAGATGGTTGGGGCTGTAGATTCGGCGCCTTTTCATTTGCAAATATTCAATCACTCAGCGGTTTCGGATGTTTGCATGAGAGTCTTTACTTGACATTGTGATGTGATCATTATGAGCTATGCTAATGGCACTACGTTATGGCTAATACACGCTCATTTCACACTCCGGACTGTGTCATCAAGAGCCTTTGCAAAGTATTCTACGTTCTTCTCGTTCAACCCCGCAATTGAAATTCGTGATGTGTCGGCCATATAAACGTGGTACTTCTCTGTAGTGGAAAAACGTTAGTATCTTGTAAAGTAAAGTAGAACTATACTTCCTGAGAGGGGTATGACAAACCTTCGAGATGCTGAACCTGGGTCTTAGTGATACCAGTGTACCCAAACATGCCGCTCTGCTTCACAATATGCGACCAATCGCCCGGCGTCTGCAGCCGGACCAGCTCATCGTAGACCTTCTTCCGCATGGCGCGAATGCGGCCAGACATGGTGATGAGGTCCTTTGCCCACTGCTCCTTGAAAGACGGCGTCCCCAGCACCGCAGCCGCAATGCGCGCGCCGTACGCGGGCGGGTTCGAGACCGTCGCCCTCTGCACGTTCTCCAGGATAGAGTTGACCGTCTTGGTCCTCTCCGCCGTATCAGCAACAAACGTGACAGCGCCGACGCGCTCGCCGTACAGGCCCATATTCTTGGCGAACGACATGCAGACGGCGGCCTCGAGGCCGAGCTCGTCGATAAAGTAGCGAATCGCCCAGGCGTCGTCGTCGACGGAGCCCGAGTTGAAGCCGAGGTAGGCCGAGTCGAAGACGGGGAAGATGCCCTTCTCGATGATGGCCGAGGCGATCTGCTTCCACTGCTCCTGTGAAGGGTCGCAGCCCGTGGGGTTGTGGGCGCAGGCGTGCAGGATGACGGCCGAGGTGGAGGGTTCGGCGGCTTTGAGGGTCGAGATGTAGCCGTCAAAGTCGAAGGCGCAGTCTTTGTAGTAGGGCAACTGCTTGACTTCGAAGCCGAGGGAGGCGAAGAGGAGTTCGTGGTTGGACCATGTCGGGTCGGTGATGTAGATTGTCTTGATGTGGGCGGCGGCCTTCTTCAGGGCGAGGCCGGCGAGAAGGAGGGCGCCTGTTCCGGAGAGAGATTGGCATGATGCGACCTTTGAAAATGTTTAGGTGACATTTATTTGGAAAGCTTGATGCGAGCACTTACACGGTTCTCTGTGAATGCCTTGGTGGAGCTAAAGACAAGCTTGACGGCTTCATCGCGGAAGGGCTTGAATCCCGCGATAGGAAGATACTCGTGGCCAGGCTCTCCGAGGGATGCTTCTGCCAGTCTTACAGATGGCAAGATCCAAGGCTGACCATTCTCATCGCGATAGGTACCCTGGCCAAGGTTGACCTTGTTCGGATCTGTGTCAGCGACGTACCGCCTGGTGACGTCGAAGATGGCGTCGGGCGGGATGAACTCTGCTTGTTCAAAAGCTGACGTTTGCTGCTTGACCGAACCCATTGTGAATATCGTGTAATGCTTGTGAAATGCGAATAAGTGAAGCTGCGATCTCTCGTCGAGAGACGAGGGTCGCGACGCGGGTATGAGTAGACCAGGGATCTCGGGACCCCAGCCGACTCGGAGTTGAACCCGGTCATGGGTTCCGGTACCGGCCTGAGTCGAGCTCGGATGAGGGGCCCGCGGGGTCGTAGTCCACTTTGATGGAGTGCTCCATCTGAGATTATCAAATGCTCCGAAACTTACGGGTCATGACCGAAGCATGTCATTTCGGCGGAGAGACGATAATGGGGATGAATGGGCCAAATAAGAGTAGCTAGCAATCCCTCTTGTGTGTAGGATTTCGTAGGCGTAGATTGATATTGTAACTATTGTTTCATTTTTACTGCATATCTCCGACAAGATGGCTCCTCGTGCACCCCCTCGCGGCATCTACGCCCCCGTCGTGGCCTTCTTCCACGAAGACGAGACTCTCGATGTCGAAGCCTTGAAGACTCACATTACGCGGCTCGCAAAGTCGGGCGTGGCCGGCCTGGTCATCCAGGGATCCAACGGAGAGGCGCCGCATCTGCTCCATTCGGAGAGACAGCAGGTCATTGCAACGGCAGCCGAGGTGCTCAAGCAACACGGAAAGCCCGAGGCCGTCATCATCGCCGGCTGCGGCGCGCAGAGCACACGGGAAACGATCCAGCTCTGCACTGAAGCCAAGGAGTCGGGAGCGGACTACGCTCTCGTCCTGTCACCGAGCTACTGGAGTGAGTTTCCTCAACCTGGAACGAACGTTGAACTATGAGATGGGCATCCAGATTGCTGACACTTTCTGCGAACAATTTCAGCCGGCGCAATGCAAAAGCCCGTGATCCAAAAGTTCTTTGACGACGTCGCAACAGCATCGCCCATCCCCATCCTCCTGTACAACTTCCCCGCCGTGACATCGGGCATCGACCTCGACTCAGACCTCATTGCCGACCTGGCGGCATCGAACCCCAAGGTCGTGGGCTGCAAGCTCACCTGCGGCAACCTGGGCAAGCTGCACCGCGTAGCGCACGACGAGCGCATCCCTCAGCCGTTCGCCGCGTTCGCGGGCAAGTCGGACTTTTTCCTGCACGGGCTCGTTGCCGGCTCCAACGGCGTCATCGCGGCGGCGGCCAACTTCACGCCAAAGGTGCACGTCAAGCTGCTGGAGCTGTACGACGCGGGCAAGCTCAAGGAGGCGACCGAGTTGCAGACGAAGCTGAGCCGCGCCGACTGGGTGCTGGTGCAGCTGGGTGTCGCCGGGTTGAAGGCTGCGCTGGATAGATATTTCGGGTATGGCGGTGGACGGAGCAGGCGGCCGCTTGGCCTCGTTGCGAGCGCCAAGTTCGAGGGAGAAAAGGATGCGGTGCTCAAGGACTTGGTCGATTTGGAGAGTTCGCTATAGACGTGCCCGATACTCCGTACATGAGGTTGGGATGTGATGAGATGTAGATAAGATAAAGATTAGATGATGACAATTTCATCATAAGATACAGTATCTTGGGAGACCAGCTGGCAAGGGCTGTCCCACCAGCTGGTCGCCGTCAACCGATATAACCACCGAATGTGTTCCCGGTCCTCTCCTCTTTCGACTTCCATTCACAGCTCTTTCGGCTTGATCTTGTTTTCTCTTCATCTTGCCCGACGTATTCCTGCCCCGTTTGCTCCCCGAAGCCACTTGCTTCACCGCAGATCTCGACTCGATCCGTTCTTTGCTCAATGTCTGAGATTCGACTTGTTAGCCCGCGACGCCCGGCTAGACCAGAAGACTTTAAGCTTATTGGACCAACTTCAAAGAGTTCCTTATCCGTCCCTTGTCGACGAGGCATGTGAACACTTTGGTGTAAGCCCATTGGACAGACTCGACCGGGGGTGGCTGAAAGGACGAACCGACGCTGGAAGCTAAACAGCACTCCAAATGTCCATCGTCTGCTCCCAGCCACCCCAGATGTTTCTTCCTTCATTTTCACCCTTCCAGACTAAGCAGAACGGCTCACTGATGTGGACTGATCTAGGTATTTGTCGGCGGCATCTAGACCCAAGCCCTCGGGTCATACTCTTTTGCCCAGAGCCCGGTACCTTGGCCACCTTGCGTTGGTCGGCAAAGTCTGGATCATCATCGAGAGATCCAGGACATACCGCAAGAGAGCAGTGACAAGTAAGGCAATCAACAGTCATGTCAGACAGTCTCAATTCAGCCAATTCCCCCGCCTGATCGTCGCTACCGCACGTTAAAAACGGCCGCTGCAACCAGCTTCTTCCGGTCGGTGTAGCCGATTGCGGCATCTCATCGCTCCCTCTCACCTTTTCTCATGGAAGCGCCAAATGCATGAGTGGCTTGCTCCATCATTGGCCGGAGCTATCGAGGATAGCTGATAACGTAGCTAGGAGCTCAATCGCGCCATGCAGTCACCCCGCACCTTGGCCTCTTGAGTTCGGCCCTCCGATCACGACTCCTCTCTCTTTCTCTCACCTTATCACCTCAACTGCCTCGAACTTCCTTCACCTCTCCCTGTTTCTGGGCGACAACTTACTTGGCTCGGCTTACCATGACAGTCAGCCATGTGCCGCCATCTCCACTCCGCTAGCATGCAGACACTGTAGATCCTTGCTGCGCTTCCCACGCCATCCCGCGTCGGCACCATCCGTCACCACCGCCATCGTCGGCCAGCATCTGTTGGAGTCGCAACGGTAGCCAAGAAAGACAATGCTGCCCGTCTGCCATGTCCGGCCTTGTACCCTGACTCGTTTTGCTGCGCTGGGCCTCGAGCACGTCATGTACTGCCTACATTACCCCTCCAAGACAAGCGTCCTGGGGTGGAAGAGAGGCACTCGATGGCTTATCGATGCGAGATGCGGTGAGAAGTTGTCACTCATGTCCCCTCTGAGGTGAAGATGGTGTAAGCCCAGCTGTCTGGCCTAGCTTCCCGCCGCCGCCTTGCTGCATGCGAGCCTTGCATGCTCTGGTCCTCCCAAGCTCTCCTCTGGCGTCCAGAGTGGTGGTCGCTTTGTTCTTTTAAGCCGAGCTCTCCCATCCATCTCCTTTGCCGAACAGCTGTCCGTCTTGTATTGGATTAATCTCTTCGTCTTGAGCTTCCTGTTGCCTGTGTAAGCCCGTGCTGCAAGTTCAGTCGCCCGCCCAAATTTCGCACGCGTTTGACACTCGACTCAGGCTTCGCCCGTCATGTCTACCCTATCTCTGATCGTCTTCATTGGGACCCTGATCGTAACGACCTCGGCCGCGCCCTCGACTCCTTCAGTATGGGCGTCCGTCGCAATGGTCATGCACGGGGAGCGCACACCTGTGCGCAGTGGGCTCCAAGATACTCTGACTCCCTTGGGTGCTCAAGAAATGTACAACCAGGGAAGCGCCTTTAGAAGTCGTTACCTGGCCAGCGGGACGCCGACAAACGTCTCCGAGGGTCGTATCACGACCCGCGCCGCGATCAAAGGCATTGCGCGGAATGTTTATGAGCATGAGCAGCTCTCGATTCTCTCCCTTCCCGATGCTCACATCGCCGCTGGCGCTGCTGCCTTCATGCAGGGCCTCTATCCGCCCATCACGCAGGCTTTTGCGGCCGATACTGGCGGAACGAACATCTCATACTCGACAATCTCGGGAAATACCACGCAGTATCCTCTGGGTGGCTACCAATACCCGATCATTGAGACGTTGGGACTGTCCGACGATAGGTCGATTGAGTAAGTGCCAGTTACCGCAAAACAGACGCTCCTCGAGACTTAACTGACTTGAAATCGTTAAGCATTCGGGGCAACACGGAATGCCCGCAGTGGAAGATCTCGACAACATATGTCATGCAGCTCGACCCGTACATGCAAGCACTCGAGCAGGTCTCCCGTCCCGGCTACACATCCCTCTTCAGCACGCCGCCACTGAATGACGGCGATATCTCGCTTGCACACGTGAACTTTTGGAACGCCTACGATATTTACGACTACGTCCGCTACCGGTACTCCCACGAGCAGGCCGTCTACGATGGCTTGGAGGACGTCTACGCGCAACGCATCGAGTTCCTCGAAATGTACGCCCGGCTCCAGCAACTCAACATGACCTCGAACCAGGCTGTCTCAGGCCTCCAAAAGGGCGACATGATTCGCACCATCGCTGGCAGGACATTCGCGCGCAAGGTCGTCGACGCCCTCGAGGCCAACGGCAACTTCGCCGGCTACTCCAACAAGATGACGCTCCTCTTCAGCTCCCAGGAGCCCTTCCTCTCCTTCTTCTCCCTCGCCGGGCTCCAGAAGCCAAACCAGACGCTCGACGCGACACCCTTTTGGAGCCTCCCCGAAAACGGCGCCGCCATGGTCTTTGAGCTCGTCGGCGACGAGCCCAACCAGCCGGACACGTACCCGACCGAGGAGAACCTCTACGTCCGCTTCCTCTACCGCGAGAACGCGGACCCGGCCACGCCGTTTTTGGAGTACCCTCTCTTTGGCCTCGCCGAGGGCGACACCCGCGTGACATACAGCTACTTCAAGCAGGAGATGCTAAAGTTCGGCATCGACACGGCGACGTGGTGCAGCATTTGCGGCTCGATTCAATCCTTTTGCGACTGGCAGACCACAAAGACGACGCCGAGCGCCGGCGAGGCCATCCGCTCCGCCGTGCAAAAGCCCGTTGTCGCGGGTATCATTGGCGCCATCATCGTCCTCGCCGTCTTGGCCCTAGTCGTTATCTCGGCGGCCGTTCTGGGCGGTTTCCGCATTCATCGCGCCGGAGGCGGAGCGGGAGGAAGCAAGGACAGTGGCAGTGGCCGGATCGCCGGGCTCGGCGGGTTCAGGGCGGCCGAGAAGATGGCTAGCGACCCGGACCTGGCTGTCTCTGGGCGCGGGGTGCGACACGAGCGCCAGGGGAGCTGGGAGCTGCGTGACGGGCGGGAGGTCTCGGGAGCCGGGGGCCAGGCGGGTATCGCTGTGGACAAGACCGCGTCGACGTTCCAGGCGAAGCCTATTGATGATGATGCCATTAGCGTCATGGGAGCATCGCCTGTGAAGCCCAGGGAGAGCGTCTGATTGAAGGGTCAAGTAGACAGGGTTTTCCACGGTGGGATGATGGATATGGAACTCTCTTCTGGCTTTCGTTTATGATACCCTTTTTTGATACCCTTCCTCACGGTCCTTTGTTGGAACTATTTTGCATGGATACAGGTTTTTCTTCCATCTCTGATCGGAGGCATTGCGAATTCATATACTCATTGTTTGATCTGAGCTCTACTTCCTTCACGAACGGCATCGCTTGAATAGTGAGAAATTTACCCGATATAACATACCTGAGACTTGGTGGGTATGACACCGAAGGGATTGTTCGGCTAACAAATAACTACCGTGGTAAGAGAATCCCGAAATCATCTCCTGTTCACCCTTGGCCTTTGAGAATGACTACTGCGCTCGAATGTTGATGTTCGCAACCACAATACGCCGTGGGTACTTGGAAATCATGATGCCCCCACAGTGTGAAGCACTGAAAGAGACTGTACATCAACCCCACCGCAGTGACCCTCCTTCCATTCAGACCCCGCCATCACCGCCAAAACCACAAACCTCTCAACGCGTCGCGCAACCTCTTCCTCTACCTCCCAACGACATCACCGAGCCAGGAACAAAAATGTCGTCACATCAACGGACCTTCTCCCACTCGCAATCCCAATCGGGGACGAGGGAAAAGACCTACTTTGAGCAGCAGCGCGAAGAACTCATCGGCGAGATCGCAATGGTAAGCCCCGGTCGGCCCCCCCTTCGTTCCCCAGAGCGACAAGCATCAACAAAAAACAAATAACGAGAATATGCTAATTCAAAGTCAACCAGAGCTTTGAGCAAGTCCTTGCCAACATCAACAAGCTGAATCGATCGCTCGAGGCAGTCATCACGGTATGCAGTCTTCCGTTCCAAATATATGCCAGCCCCCAAGAACTCGAGCACTAACTCGGGTCTTCGCCACCATTCGCAGGTCGGAAACGAATTCTCCTCCGTCGAAGCGCTGTGGTCGCAGTTTGAAAACGTAATGGCAAAAGAGCCCGAGGAAAACAAGCAGGGCGATACCGAGGAAGGCAGCGACGGCGAGACGAAGAACGAGCAAAGATCATGATACCCCCATAAGGAACGAAATGACTACTCTTTTATGAGTGATGATATTACGCCCAGCCGTGTCCACCATCTTAACCAGCTTACGCCTCGCCTCCGCGTCTGGTTTCTTCGCAAGCTCGCCCAACCCAACCACCAAACCGCCATGATTCGACTCTCGGAGCTTCTCCAACCTCTCAGCGACGGCGAGACATCTCTCTCCTTCCTCTCTCTCAGCGCTTCGCATCGTTTCCGCAAATCGGCGCTGAGATCTTCGTACCTCGCCAAAAAAACACCGACTCGAGCGAGGCCGCCAAAATCTCCAAACGGACCTTGGTCCACGTCGTGTTCGGCCCTCGCGTCGCGATCGTCTTTGAGGCGTTTGAGCTGACTGGCGGAATTATGGATACCATCTTCCGAGGGGCTATGGGCGTCGTCTGTCGATTCTGAGGGCAGCTTCGCCATCTTCGCCATCTCGAATCTCATCTTCGCGACATCGGCCTCTCGCTCGCTTGTCGTAGCCGTGGACTCATGTTCAACAGATCCCTCTTCACCTCCCCTAGGAAACGACGCTTCGTTACTGCTGCTGCTGCTCACGGCAGACATCTGTCCCTCAGCCCACTCCAGCTCCGCCTTGAGATTCTGTTCCTGCCACCCAAGGACCTTGCGCCTTACTCTCTCCGGTTGAAACGCATCTTTCACTTCCTCGACAACGCCAGCCAGTCTCTCCGCATCCTCACCAAGACCATCAGCCGTCTGGCACAGCCCAGCAAACGCACCAGCAACCCGAAGATGCGTCACACCGACAGTCTTGAACGTCTCCTGCACAACACCGACATGCCTCCTCAACAGATCCCTCTTCTTCCACCCTTTACACGGAAAACACTTTTCCAAAAACGTCTTCTTGGTAGCGCGCTGCGTCAAGCTGGCCAGAAGCACCTCGACATCGCCCGCAGCGCCTCGGCACTCTTCCTCTGAGTTTTCGTAGGGCTCTCCGCGCGCCTCATCTTCCAGCGCGGCGAGCGAGTCGTTGAGCTTGGCAAGTTGGGCAGTAAGGCTTGTAATATCGAAGGACGGCGTTTCGGTTCGATCGGGGTTTGGAATTGAGTTTGGGCTGGGAACGTTGCTCTCGGTTGAGTCGGTTCGGACCCGTGTGGTGGGTCGCCCGTCGTTGGTGTGATGCGCGAGATCACCTTCTCGCGGGAGATCGTCGATCAGAACCTGGCGTGCCTGGGCAGAAGAGTCCATGGTGCGTAACGATCGGCTGGGTGTCAATTTATTGCAAACCGGATGAATTGAGAATTTTTTTTTTAAGGATTTGGGTTTGTTAGTCGAATTCAAGAAAAACTGCATCGTATTCTGAAGAATCCCATTCTATATCAAATCCACATCGGACCTTTCTCCGATGCCTTCCTTGGTAGATGTCAACGTTACCTCGCCGGCTGTGATGACTTTCACGAACTGCTCAACCACGGCACCGGGAAACTCAAAATTATGTACAGCTTAGTTTCGCCAGATTTGACAACATTTATTCACTCACTTGGTCACTTTCATCTCATACATACATCACGTTCATGGCACGATTTGACACTTGATTTTGATGCTTTTAACATTTCATGTTTCCTATCCCTTTGGGAATGCCCTTATCAAGACAGAAAACCCCATGCTGCTACAGGAGAGGAAGAGAAAGGAAAATAAGAAAATAAGAAAAATTACCCCTCCTCAGGGTCCAAAAAGTTACCTGATGGTTACAGAAAAAAACTGATCAAAGTCTCCCCTGTACCCGCTCCGTTTGTGTGTTTGTGTGTGTTTGGCGTAAAAATAAATAAAGGGTATGGATGAGTCTAAGGTAGAGACTCGGATGAGAAAACCACTCACTTTCCCTCCCACTCGCCTTTGTTTCGTTTCCCACTTATATACCGTTCTTCTTCGTCAATCAGGAACAAAATCCTCTCCCAACATCCCTGGTGGAGGGAAAATTTTCGTCTCCGGTCTAGAGTTCATCCAGCCCTAGAGCAGGAAACGCCCCCCCTTCGCTAATGGTGGCGCATGCTTTCTCCAGATCGTAATAGTAGCAGGTCGTGACGAGATCATGCAGATAAAACAAAAGTCATTCATTACGCCCTCCGCCGGTGTCCAATGCCTCTCCTTTACAAGCCCGAGGTCCTCAGTAGAGATCTCACAGGATCTTGCAATTCCTCTTCTTCTTCTTCTTAAGAGCGACGCCAGGGAAGCCCGCGCTGCTTCCAGGAGGACCACTGGATGTTGACGAGGAGATGGCGGCTTGGGCCTCCTGGTTTTTCCGATCATTGGCGACGACCGTCAGGATGGCCTGTTCAAAGATCTCGTCCACACCAGTCATCTCCTTGCTGCTGCACTCTACGTACTGGGCGCCCATTTTGCGGGCAACCGCACGACCTTGCTCTTGGGTCACGGGCGTGAGGCCTTGTGTCTTGAGCATGTCGATGCACGTTTTCTTGAAGCGGAGATCGGACTTGAGGCCCACGAGAACCAGAGGAGTGTAGGGGCAGAAGTGGAGGACTTCGGGATACCACTGGTAAGAGAAGAAATTAGCATTAGTGTCAAATGGTGGTGCCCCAAAAAAGGAGGGGCATGTTATCTGAGGGGCGGTGGTTAAATTACCTTGTCCATGACGTTTTCGAGCGAGTTTGGGCAGTCAATCGCAAAACACACAAAGATCAAGTCGGTCTCGGGGTAAGAGAGCGGTCGCAGCCGGTCATATTCCTCCTGGCCGGCCGTGTCCCATAGCGCCAATTCCACTGTCTTGCCGGACGGTGGGTGCGTCGGGTAGGTGATGTAGTTCTCGAACACAGTGGGGACGTATTTCTGTTGTCGCCAAAGTCAGCATTGTTTTGGCTCATTTCGCTCCCTAGCAACACGCAAATGACGCAAATCTTGCGCTCGAAAGGAGTCGGGGGTATTTTTTCGTTTGGATGCTCACCTCTGGAAAGTAACCTTGGCTGTAGCTGATGAGGAGACATGTCTTGCCGCAGCCGCCGTCGCCAACGACGACAATCTTCTTAGAATAGGCAGGACCCTCGGTGACGTGGGTTGCGGCGCTCTCGCGCCCTGTTGAGGAGCTCATTGTGGTACTGACGGTGCCGTCGCTACTCCTAAGGCGCGTGTTGCGGCGGGATGTGGCCGGGCGGCCGTCGTCGTACTTTTCGCTGATGTTCTGAGACGAGTTGTGGTATGAGTTGCGGTATTGGTATGAGGACGCCATAATGCGGCAGACTCGAGCTGTGTTTGAGGTGTTGTGATGCGATGACGAGGAGGTCGTTTCGCGGCGTGGCCCCTCGTGCGTGTTTGCGAGATGGGTTGATGTGATGATGGGTAAGATAGATACCGGGGGCCGGTGCGTGCGCTCGTCTGGGGGTGTGGAAGGGGTTGTTGTTGTTGGGGAGACTTGAGTGGTTTGTGCTTTTATGCGATGTTTCCTGGGTTGTGTGTATGCTGCCTGTCTCTTGTTGCGATGGACGAATACTGTCGATATTGATATCGCCGCCTCTCCTCGACGAGCCTCCTCGCTTCGTGTTCAGCTACTTGCCGTGTTCAGTCGAATGCCGTTGAGATATGGTTGAGTGCGAGGCATGCAATACGGGGGAAGAGACGTTGGCACGTTGCGGCGTGTTTGAGTTGAGAAATGTTGGAAAGGTGCTTGGTCTGGCTTTGGATGGTGTATTGTATGGGGGTGGGTTTGTGTGCGAGGTGGATGGGCGGGTTGTGCTGTGTTCTTGAGGAGAAGGAGCAGGAGCAAGGAGGGCAATTGTAAACAAGTCGACGGGGCAACCAGCCACTTCTTGCCGGGGTGATGACGGCAGGCGCCCAGAGGAGCCACAACGACAACGCAAAAGTGGAACCCTCCCAAAGCGCGCTAAGGCGGATCAATCAAACCCCTGGCTGTGTCTGGCCAAGGAAGGTAAACCCCTGCGCCCCTGCTGTTTCTGAAAGCAGACAGCTAAGAGTTTTTCCGGTGCCTTCCCTCACCGGCGGGACTACGGGACGAAAAGGTGGCCCAAGCTCCAACCCCACCACCGCCTCCCTCAAAATCGCGAAGTGATTTTTTCTGTCTTTCATCCTTCAACGAACGCGTCGTCGACCTTCATCGAAGGCTCATATTTCGCCACGAGCATCACCGCTGTGACCTGCGAAACACTCAGAGAGACACAGATACTCCGACACATACGGAAGCAATTATCCCATTCTTCACTCTGCTCAGCCCTCAGAACAAGAACACGCAGCATATCTCAATTATCCGCAATCATGGATATAAACGGCACAACCGACAGCAAGTACGTGACTCTGGTCTCGAGTGATGGCTACGAGTTTGTCGTTTTGCGGGACGCCGCCATGATCAGCCCTGCCATCAAAGGAATGTTGGACACACGCAACAACTTCCGCGAGGCTACTCTGGGTCGCTGCGTGTTTGAAGAGATCAGGTAAGCCAGCACAATCCCGCCCTCTCACTGCCACCTTTTCTCTCGAGTAGAGAATACTACACGACTGTTGCGATGATGAACTCCGATTATATCGATGAGTCTCACTGACAGACCGCCGCTATAACGGCCGGTCTGCTTGATTGCCAACTACACTTGATCTGAAACAAGCAACATTCTTTCTTTTTTTTTCTTTTTTTCCCTTCTTGTTACCCAGCCACCTCACAAGAGGCCACCCTCATTCCTTTTTGTCTCTCTTTTTTTTTCTTTTTCCAAAAAGTTCTGGAAACGTCTGACCGTCTTCTCCCGGCAGTGGCGTTGTGCTCGAGAAAGTCTGCGAGTATTTCCAATACTGGTACCGCTACCGTGAGCGGGAAGACGTTCCTGACATGGACATTCCTGTCGAGCTATGCCTGGAACTGCTGGTCGCAGCCGACTTCCTGGGCCTGGACAGTAAGACATCCCCAACCTCCTCTGATCCCAGAGCGATGGCATCTGTCTCACGGGAACCACCCAAACGTTCTGACACGTTTTTCACAGAGCAAAACACCGGCACTGTCTGAATGACGTTTGATGACCATTTGCATTTTGGCTTCATTGTTCACGACGGAGTTTGGGGCGTTGAGCGTTCAGGGTGGTACAACCGTACAAGATACCATTGCCATGACACTATGACGAAATCCCATGCCAAGAAGGCATGTTTCCTGTATTTTGCCATGATCTTTTTCTCGATGGTGACCCACGCTATCACCCCACATGTGAAAAAAACCCAACCCCCATCTTAGCATATGCGTTCCTCCCCTTACTCTTCCGTGGGTTGAACGTCTATTAAAGATGGAAGAAGAACTATATTCCACTCACTCTGCTTGACTCAACTTTCTACCATTGAGATCTATGCTTTTTCTGTTGGGATACAGATCAACCAATGCAAACACATACATGCACATTTGTATAGCTGAATAAACTAAATTCTTGAATTTTTGTCAAGGGCCTCTAATATCATGTGAAGCTGTGTATTGAATCGTCCTCGCAGGTATCCTTTCACTTCCAGACTACTTTTAAACCTCCGGAGCTCACAATGATGGCGACCCTTTGAGCATGAGATTGCCATGAGGCATACATCCACTTTCCACAAAACTCAGTTCCAACCTCTGCCTCTGCCACGGCCCCTACCCCGGCCCCTACCACCACGTCCACCACCGCGTCCACCACCTCTATGAAAGCCCCGACCACCGCCACGGTGTCCCCGGAACTCCCCAGCCGGCGGGCCCCTCGCCTTCCTCTCCATCCTCTCCTCCTCGCTAGCATCCCACAGGTTCCCAACCTCCAGGAGCGCGCAGTACGCCGACGTCTGCGGGTTGGTATACTCAAACGGCTGCTGCGACACAGACTCGGGCTCGCCCTCCACATGGGCCGGCGCCGTGATCTCAAAGTTGAGCGGGACGTCGAGCCTGTCCTTATTGACAATGTTTTCCTCGACCCATAGGCGCTCGGCGTCGATGAGCGGCGCGTAGTGCTCCTCGCCCAGGTCCGGGCTCGGGTGGCTCGACGCCGCGTCGTCGCCGATGACGAGCGTGGGGTGGAAGACGCGCGTGATGGCGAGCCATTCCGGGTCGTACTGCAGGCGGAAGGGCCGCGTCGGGGCCGGTTGGTCGGCGGGGAGGATGTTGTGGGGGCGCGCTTCGAGGAGCTGGAGGAAGTGGCGGCGGGGGAGGCACTTGTCGAGAGCGAGGAAGTTGACCTGCTTGTTTGTGATTGTCGGCGGGACGGGCTGGCCTGGTGTCCTCTTCGGCTGAGGTTGGGGCCTGGCGAAGGAGGCGGGGAGTTGGGCGCGGATGTCTTCGGGCACCGAGGTTTTGGTATTGGGGGCTGCTTCTTCTTTGCTGGCCTGTGTTTGCTTAGGTGCGGTAGGCTGCTCGTCGTCGTCATCGTCGTCGAGATCGATTTCGTTGGGGTTCGATTGTGCTGGCGCCGGAAGGGCAGAAGCGTCCGTGATCTCTTCGTCCCCGTCCAGGTCGATCTCGTCTGGGTTATCCGGTGCTTGAACCGACTCGTGTGCCGTAGCCGGAGCCGTAGCTGGCGCCGTGGCTCCCTCTGCTGCCTCCTTCGTAGTCGCCTCCTCATCCTTGTAGATCTTCAACGCCGCAAACTTGCAGTGCAAATGCGCGGAGAACCAATACGGTGGCCTAAGCCGATCGCAAACATACTCCGCCGCAACGTTGCCCAGCGTACCATCCATGGACTCCCTCTCAAAATCCGGCTTCATCCTCCACAACGCCTTCTCGTCACCCCACCTCTCAATAGCCCTTGGCCAGTCGTGGCTGATACCGACGTCAACCTGCTCCCTCAGCAGCAACAACTTCCTCACATCCACCTCCCTGACGTGATAGAAGCTCTTGATCTCGTCCGGGCCCATGGGCAACCTCTCGTGGTGGCCCTTTCGGTAGTCGAAGCCCTTCCAGATGCCACTCATGCCCGCGATGCGCAGCGGGCCCAGCCGCAGGACGTTGGCGGCGCCGAGGTAGTAAATGTTGGGCGCGGCCCAGCCGCCGTAGAAGAGCTCCCACATGTGGCTGGCAGCCTCGTGGTTGCCGCCCGCGAAGACGGTCAGGTACGGCGCGGTGCGGTGGCCGGCGTAGTACTCCCAGAAATCGCCGAGCTCGCGGTACTTGGCGGGGACGGACATGACGGTTAGGTCGGCGGCGTTGCGGGCGGCTTGGAAGTCGCCGCCGATGATGAGGAGGTCGACGCCGTCCCAGCCGCGGGCCGTGCAGGAGGCCTCGACGGCGGCGTAGATGGCGTTGAGGGTGCCGTGGCCCTGGCGGGATTGTCAGTGGGAGAACATTGCGTGTAAGATGGGTTCATTGAATGGCTTACGCATCCCTCAACGGCGATTCGAACGCCGTTGGTCTCGAATGTTTGTGTGGCCATTTTTTGGGTGGTCACTGGGGGTGTTGTTGTAAGGCGGAGGTTGATTCACGTTCGGTTGTACCCGCGAAATTTTCATAGCAGCATCAAGACACGAAATGATGCTGAGCTGGAGTTCATGAGCTATAAAACGTTCACCAACCAAGTTTCCTAATGCAAATCGATTGAGAGTTATCACTTATCGAACCAAATTTGACATTTCCCCCCTCCCCCAAGAAACAAGGATTCTCACTTTGCCCTCTGTTTTTTTGACTTTCGTCCCGATTTGAATATATCCAGTCAATGTCCTTTGTGCATCTCAGGTGAAGGCACAGATCACGTTGTGCAGGTAGAACTGCTCAACTCAACTTCGATTAATGCAGCTGCCCATCGAACCAGAAAGCTTTCGCCCGCCAACGTCAACCTCCTAAGGTATCTCACTCATTCCTTAAAATAGCAGTGCCTTGGACTGAGAGGCGTCGATCGTCCGGACCCAAAAGACAATTTTATAACTCTCATCTTGTCTAGCATATTGAATATGAAGACTTGATCTTAGATGCTACGGTGTGTTGGAGTTGACATATGCCTCGAAGACTCGAATGAGACTCAGACGACCTCAATGAACAACAGCTTGGGACATGAGCAACAAAGGGAGGCCAGTGCTCCCATCCCCCGGATTTTTTGGGTTGCATCGCCAGGCGGTACCTTACAGTGGACCCGATGATTTTCCGACAGCCTCACACCACTGAAGCAGCCTCAGGTGCACTGTGCCCGCCTAAAAATTGACATTCCTGGAAGCCCGACCCCCAATTGAGAGATAGAGGAGCCTCGCGCATCGCAGCCTCGATTCCCGCGCAAACTTCCCCCCAATCCACACATTACATGGGCCATTCCTCACCCTCGAATCGCCCACCATGAGCGTATGCAAACCCCCTCCTCCCTTCATTTCCAAAACTTTTTAGGATGGAATAAGCTAACAAGTCTTTCCTGCAGTTCGTGCCCATTAACCCGCGGCCTATGCTGCAAGACCTGTACGTCCCTCATCCCGCCCGAACGCGCTTCCTCCAACGCCATCTGCGATCACCACATCCCCCTTCCGCGATAGACAAAGCTTCCCAGCGTGCTAACATCCCATTTCTTCAAATATAGTGTCAACCAGGACGTCGTCATCAGACTCAAGTGGGGCGAGACCGAATACAAGGGAAAGTTGGTCAGCATCGACAGCTACATGAACGTCCAGCTCAGCGGCGCCGAGGAGTACATTGACCAGAAGATGACGGGAGCTTTGGGCCAGGTTTTGATCCGGTACGCGACCATCGTCGACGGACGCCCCTTCCACCGTCGCATACGATAACCTCGGGCGAAAGTGTGCTGACTGACGCGCTACAGGTGTAACAACGTCCTCTGGATCCGCGGCGCGAAACAAGGCGAGAACGGCGATGTCAGGATGGAAGGTTGAGCAGGAAGACGCCCTCCAGAACGAGCGGAAAGACCACGAGCGGAAAAGCATCAACACAGCCTGGGTACCGCCCTCACGCACTTTGGTTTGACTAGGAGGCAAGGGGCGGCGGGAAGGGACACGATTTTCACGATGACCTTGGAGCGATAGAACATCAAAAAAGGAAACCCCCAAAAAGGCCGGCGACGGAACGGAATTTGCAGTTTTCCCCCCCAAAGTCAGGATGAATACCGCCGGATCGCACTGCGCAAGAAAGAACCATCTACCTCTTCCCCCTTTCGCAGCAACTATAGAAGAAGAAAAAGGGGGCGCAAACCATTGTCGGCGCCTCCTGTGCCCTCCCCTTATGGTACTACTTTTTTTTTCCTTCGCAAATACCTACATAAGACAAGCAACCTTGCGACTACTGCAGAGATCCGATGACGCTACCTTGATGCGCTGTGTCTCGCTCACCCACGTGTACGCCTCGATGAGCCACTCGTACCACACCCGCGAATCGTCCGTCTGTCGCCACATGGTGACCTCCAACTCCGTGTCGGCAGGGTAGTAGATGGGTTGCTGTGAATGTTAGTGAATTGTCCATGTTGCACAGAGGAATTGGCGCCTTCTTTTTTTTTTTTTTTTTTGCTTACCTTGATGGGGAAGAAGATGGGGAACCACGAGATCATGTCCTTGCTCTTGCGGTCAATCAGCTCGGGATGCGTGCTGATTTCCACCTTTTCTCTGTCGCCGATCTGGGGCGCGTAGAGGACAGACTCAAAGTACCCAGCCAGACCGTGGATGACGCCCCTCGTGGGGCAGACGAACGTGAGATGGCAGAAGCGCGAGTTGTGGTCGTTGGCGCCGACGGCACCCGCCATGCTACCGCCTCCGCCGCCCATGACGCCGCCGGCGCGTCTCGTCTCGATCTGCTTCAGCGTAGCCTCGGACACCGGGTGGGAGAACTCCCACGCCTGCTGGAAGCGCGGGTGGCCGGGCACGCGCATGGCCGCGAAGTCGAGGGCGAAGAGGCGCACCACCCAGGGGGTGTCGAAGGCATTGGGCTCCGTGGGGACTCTGGTGAGGAGGTCGGCGTGGATGCGCGGCGTCGCGATGGGGCTCATGTGCGCCGTGTAGGATTCCGGGATCGAGATGCCGCCGGGCGCCAGGACGTGCTGGACGCCGTCTAGGCACTCTGGCGAGAGCTCGTTATCTGCGAAGGAACCGAGCAGCTCGGAGACCAGAATGTCCACCTTGCCGTAGACCGGGTTGTTTTCGGGGGTGCCCGAAATGAGGGGGCCCTTCCAGGCGCGCATGTCCGTCTTGACGACGGTGACCTTGCCGCCCCAGATCATCTCGTTCTGTCTCAGGAGATAGACGTACGCGTTAGGGTTTTTCTCCACGGCCCAGACCTGGACGGGGACGCCGGTCGCCACGCTGGCCTTGAGGGCTCTCGTCACGAGAGGGCCGCGGCCAGAGCCGACGACGGCAATGACGACGGCGCCGTCCTTGGAAGAGGTGGCTCTGCCCAGCTGGTGCCACTCGGCCAGAGCTTCGATGCAAGCGGCCTCGTACTGGTTGTACTTGACCGGGTCTCCCTCAAACACCTCGTACGTGGCCGACTCCAGGTTGTCGGACAGAGGCTGCAGGGGCGACTGGAGCCAGTCCTGGAAGCTGGTGAGCGTGGTCTGCTCCAGGTACGACAGCGGGCGCTGCTGCATCTCGAGCCACTTGAGGTACACCACGTAAGTGCGGAACGACTTGAGGGAGTCCGTGGCGAGGGTGGGAGTTTTGCCCAGGGGAGGGAAGTCTGCAGAGGTGGGGACCTGGTTTCCGAGACTGACGGCCTGGAGCTGTGCCTCGGCCGTCAGCGAGGCGGCGTCCGGACCGACGTCGCTGAGAAGCAGCCAGGGCGCGTTCTTGAGGCGCATGTAGTTGAAAATCATCTCTTGGTGAGCCTTGGGCAGGGCAGGGTGTCCGGTCTTGTTCTTGGAGAATGCGTTTCCGCTGAGGGACAGGAAGTGCAGGGGCTCGGCGAACCACTTCTCCTGAAGCGACTTCTCAGGCAGAGCTCGGGGGACGCGAATGGCTGTTGAAAATGATCAGTGCCTATTTCTAGGATAAGAGACTGAGGAGATATCTTACCAACATACAGACGCATGCTGTATTCACAGACTGAACGAACAGTGTGCCAAGAGTCCCATGCGCTGTAAATATCGATCTCCTTGCTATTCTCGGGGTGAGGGACCTCTGACAAAGTCGACAGGAGCTCGACGCTCTCCTCCAGTCCCGGCTCCCGGTACATGGGGAAGTGAATGATGAAGTTGAGGCGCGACGCAATGGTCATGGCCTCCTGTACAGCTCTGGCATACTGGGACAGGCCCTGGTTTCCGCCATTCTTGGAAGCGTCTTTCCGGGGGCCGGGGATGATGATGCTTCGAACACCACAAAAGTTGGCGTAGGCGATCTCGAGGTTCAGGACTTGACGAGAAATGCTGGCAACGGCAGGATCGACCGAGGCTAAGTCGATCCAGGGACTGGCGTAGGCGATGTAAGTGGTGACGGCATGGCTGGGGAAGAGGGAGGTGTCCTTGGGGGTCAAAGGAGGCACCACGGCATCTGCCAATGAAGCAAGTCCCTTCTTTTCCTTGGCGAGATGCTGGGAAACGAGGTCCTTTACTCGCGCATGAAAGTGCCTGTTGGTGATGGGTGCCGTCACAAAGTTGACCTGAAGTCAAAGCTTAGTGACAATTCAAAAAAGAGGATATCAGGGTCTCGGTAATGGACTTACACCAGCGTTCAGGATTTGACCATACTGAAGATCATCAAGAGGCTGATCTCTCTCAGAATCATGCTGACCGAGGCTGAAAACGGGCCGGATCTGGTTGAAGTTGCCGCCGTCCATGATGGATGTTGAGTGTGTTCGGGCTGTAGGACCTTGTGCTGCCTAAAGAGGACTTGTGAATGGTGTAATTGCTCAGCGCACAAATACCCCACGCGGTGGTTGTGCAAAAAGCGGTTACCTGCTGGTCAGGACCCTGGCGCTTCGGTAAAAAGGAGGATATGACGAGGGGAAATTTGATGATTTGTGGTCAGCAAATCATTCTTGGTAGGTTGCTTGTACTCAGGAAAATAATCGTCCGGGAGAGCAGAGGAGTTGCACTCAGATCAGTTGCGACCTGATGTTGTGTGATTTGAGAAGTCAGGCTGTTGGTTACCCCCCCCCCCCCCCCCCCCCCCCCCCCCACCAAGAGGTAAAAAAGCACCAAATTTTGCGAGTTGCGACTCGGTGCCATTGGTTGCACTCTGGACCCTGGAGAGAGCGCGCGAGAGGAGACAGTGCCCGCTGTCAGGAAAGTATACTTTACAAGCTTTCATCTCACTCAATTCAATGAGATTATGAGAGATCTTCTCTGTGAGAATTACTTCTAGTAACTTACTCGGAGTGAGAAATACTGGATATAAAAATAAACATAATATGAGTTTGAATGAGTTCTAGCCAAAATCCAGAGATTCCCTGCAATGTTGATGGGCCACAGATAGTCTCATTCTCCTAGACACGCAATGTCTCGTGAACAGTGTGTTGAGCTTTTAGTACGGTACATCTCATGCATGAGTTTAGCTTATCTTATCATCCCACCTTCTCATTGGCCCGTGCTTGAACCCACCCAAATTTTTCCCGCGACAACAAAAAGTTTCTGGGAGCCTCGCTTGGAATCGCCTCCCGAGCTTGTCTTCGTCGACGTCGAATCCACGGGCCGCAACTTCAACCCAACATCTCCCTCAACCCCTTTCCCGTCCACCACCCCCGCACCGAACGGCGGAATCTGCGACCAAAATGGCCGGCTTCGAGGATAAGGGATCGAAGCGCCTGAGCGCCGACGGAGAAGGAAGCCGGAAGAAGATCAAGAAGGAGGTCAAGAAGGAGGAAGAGGATGAGTCCAAGTACAACCCCTACTTGGCGCACATGAAGGAGGAGAACGGCGTCAAATCCGAGGAGGACGTCATTGATGCCAGCTCGCCCTTTTACGGTTTCAAGCAACGCGCCACCACTGCGAAGCAGCACGAGAAGATCGAAGACCTCGACGACAATGCCTTCACCGGTCGCCCTCACTCGCAAAAATATTTCCAGATTCTGCAGTCGCGTCGCGATCTTCCCGTCGCGAAGCAGAGGTGCGTCTATCTCATATTCATTTTCACAAGATTTCTATCTGACTGACTATCTTGCCAACAGAGAAGAGTTCCTCGAGAAGTACCACTCAACCCAAATCCTCGTCTTCGTCGGTGAGACCGGTTCCGGAAAGACGACCCAGATTCCTCAATATGTCGTATTTGACGAGCTCCCTCAGCTCAACCGCAAGATGGTTGCCTGCACTCAGCCCCGTCGTGTTGCTGCCATGTCCGTTGCGCAGCGTGTTGCCGACGAGATGGACGTTCAACTTGGCGAGGAGGTCGGATACAGCATTCGTTTCGAGGACAGAACCAGCCCCAACACGATCCTCAAATACATGACCGACGGTATGCTTCTCCGAGAAGCCATCCACGACCACGAGATGTCGCGTTACAGCTGTATCATCCTCGACGAGGCCCACGAACGTACTCTCGCCACCGATATCCTCATGGCCCTGCTCAAGCAGATTGCCGCCCGCCGCCCCGACCTCAAGATCGTCGTCATGTCCGCCACCCTCGATGCGCAAAAGTTCCAGCGCTACTTCAACGATGCGCCTCTTCTCGCCGTTCCCGGTCGCACACACCCCGTCGAGATCTTCTACACCCCCGAGCCCGAGAGGGACTACGTCGAGGCTGCCATTCGGACAGTGTTGCAGATCCATGCCTCTGAAGGGGAGGGCGATATTCTACTGTTCTTGACAGGTGAGGAAGAGATTGAGGATGCCTGCCGGAAGATCAATCTCGAGGCCGACGAAATGACACGAGAAATCGACGCCGGCCCGTTGGTGGTTTACCCGCTCTACGGTACTCTGCCCCCGCACCAGCAGCAAAAGATCTTCGACAAGGCTCCGGCCCCGTACAAGAAGGGCGGCCGGCCAGGACGCAAGGTTATTGTGTCTACCAACATTGCCGAGACGTCTTTGACCATTGACGGTATCGTGTATGTCGTTGATCCCGGCTTCAGCAAGCAAAAGATCTACAACCCGCGAATTCGTGTCGAGTCTCTCTTGGTCTCCCCTATCTCCAAGGCCTCGGCCCAGCAGCGTGCTGGTCGTGCTGGTCGTACAAAGCCCGGAAAGTGCTTCCGTCTGTACACTGAGCAGGCCTTCAAGAAGGAGCTCATCGAGCAGACCCATCCTGAGATTCTGCGTTCCAACCTGTGCAACACGGTCCTGGAGCTGAAGAAGCTTGGTGTCGTGGATCTCGTCCACTTTGACCTCATGGACCCTCCTGCGCCGGAGACCATGATGCGTGCGCTCGAGGAGCTGAACTATCTCGCCTGCCTTGACGATGTTGGCGAGCTGACCACCCTCGGAAGCCTCGCCTCCGAGTTCCCCTTGGACCCAGCCTTGGCCGTCATGCTTATCTCCTCGCCGGAATTTTACTGCTCCAACGAGATTCTGTCCATCGTCTCTCTCCTCTCTATTCCTCAGATCTGGGTCCGCCCCGCCGCTCAGCGTAAGCGTGCCGACGAGATGAAGGCGCAGTTCTCACACCCCGAGGGCGATCATCTCACACTCCTCAATGCCTACCACGCCTTCAAGGGCACGGCAAACCAGCCCGACGTGGACCCCAAAAGATGGTGTCACGAGCACTTCCTCTCCTTCCGTCATCTCAGCAGTGCCGACAACGTTCGTGCGCAGCTGAAGCGCATCATGGAGAAGTCTGACCTCGAGCTCGTGTCGACCCCCTTTGAGGACAAGAACTACTACACCAACATCCGGCGCGCGCTCCTTTCGGGCTTCTTCATGCAGGTCGCCATGAAGGAGAGCTCCGGCAAGGTTTACCGTACTATCAAGGACGATCAGGCAGTCATGATGCATCCCTCCACGGTCCTCAAGACCGACTACGAATGGGTCCTTTACAACGAATTCGTCCTCACCTCCAAGCAGTACATCCGTACATGCACCGGAATCAGGCCAGAGTGGCTGTTTGTAAGCAATGCCCCTGCCTTTCCCCCCCTTCGAACAAATGCCACTTGTCTTTTCCCTTCCTCTTGCCGCTTACCCCCATATGGATTGCTACGATCGATCTCTTGCTGCTTTCAGCCCCCACCCCCTGTCCTGCATTCTTCGGCACTTGCCTCATCCTATCCATTGCATCGGAGAACCCCATAACTAATATCGATGTACCAGGAAATCGCACCCGCCTACTATGACCTTGCAGAGTTCGACGATGGAATCGTCAAGACCGCGCTGACCCGGGCCTCGGAGAAGAAGCGCAGAAAGGAGGCCATGAAGAATGGTCGGTGAGCACAGCGCGGGCGCGCGCGGTAATGCACTCCGCTCGATTCGAGTGCAGAACAGCAAACCCCCCAAGGGCTCTCAATTCTCAATTCTCACAATCGTACACCCACCCCAACCATCCCCCTACCTTTTTTTTTCGCCAAGGTTGCGAATACGCTAAGGCCCTGGGGACCTAATGAAGAGAAAAACTCAGAGTGATCCGATTTTGGGATTTTTGGAGGCCCGAAAGCCCCCCCCCTTCCCCCAGTTCGATCGTGAATTTTTGGCGAGGGTCGCCTCCATCGCGGCGGGGGCAACGGCCTACCGGACCAGGGGGGTGCGGAAAGACTTGGAGCGCGTGTTGTTCGAAAGCCTCCTTTTGGGGCTCAGTTTTTTTCGGTTGCGATGGGGAGGAATTCTCCCCCCATTTTTGCGACCTACGAACTTCAGCAAATTTTTTTTTTTACTCTTGTTGTTATTATTTTACACAGCCTAGGACCAGGGCGGGCACACGGCGGGCAAATCACTTTCGTAGTAGATGTCATGGTCAGCCCGTCGCTCTCTTCCTCCAACCCGATGATCCGACAGGAAAAGAGGTGTGGGCGGGCTTGGCAGGGGCTCATTGGGACCGGAAATTTTTCTATTTTTTTTTTACCATGGTGGTATGGCGTCCCAGGTATGACAAAAGAGAAGCATCATCAACGGCACATAGTTATCGTGTGCAAAATAGAAGACCACATTTTTGTTCCCTCCACCCATCATTTCTCTCTCTGTGTCTGTCTACCTATCTCCCCGCCTGGTGTCACCCCCTCTCGGCTTACCCTCCCCCTTCCCTCTGATCTTGCAACCCATCCATCTTACGAGCCAAAATTATCCATAGGTTGTAGTCTCGGCAGATGGGTGCAGATGCAGAACATGACGGATGTAGCCGGTTATCGAAAAGGAGGGGAGGAGCCCACTTCCACGAAATGCAGCATTTCTGTCAAATTCTGTGAGATGTGCCGTGTGATCGAGGGTGGATTCCAGCCCGTCTGAATCCAGCAACTTTTTCTCCAAAGCATTGGCATCATTTGTATTATTGCATGACCAGGGGGGGTGTTTAACAAGAGAGCAGGTCCAAACGGCAAGGAGATTGCGAGGCTCTTGAGGAAACAGAGATAGCCCCGATTGCCCGACAATGGAAGTTCCAAGTTTACATCATACAACATACACTTTTATTCATTGTATTGAACGAAGGTTTGCAATGAGATCTCAGTGACCGGGCCGCCTCGGACCGCAAGTTCAACCATGTTTTTTCTTCATGTATCTCTAGTCATGATGTCGGAGCTGATTTGTTATTTGGGTGCACGCGCGGCAAAAGAGCAAAAAACGAACGCCCGGACTTTTTGTCCGATCAGACCAAGCAATGTCAGACCGTATCTTTGGGAAAACAGGGTCGAACGAAAAAGAAGAAAAAAAAGCGTGTAAGACGATCGTGGGACGGCGCCAAACCTTGTCGGCGCAAGCTCCCGCAACGTACACAACGGCGCGGCGCTTCCGGACCTGGGATCAAAGACAAAAAAACCTTCAGACCATTAGGTAGGACCTTAGAGGCTTGGGCGAGAAAACCCCTGGACACGGGACGCCACACCGTAGATCGCACGCTATGCCCAACACGAGAGATGCAGAAACGTCTGTGTTTGTGAGAGGGTATCCGTATGATGTATGATCTTAGGTACGAGCATGAGACGGCAGATGGAGAACCGACGATGCAACGAAAGACGCTAGCAAGAAAATTTCAGTGGTATAGCGCTTATACTATGAGCGGTAGTTGTAGTTGTAGTTGTATTCAATGTAACTCTTTCTTGGTGAGAAACATATCAGATTTGGCCTCTGCCGAAAAAAAAAAAAAAAAAAAAAAAACCCCTCACAGTGAGCAAAGGAAGCAAGAGAGCGTCGCATCCGGTACGGGCTGCGATCCCCGACCCGGATCCCGCACACGTGACACACGCGTGGTCTCGACGGTTCCACCGATCGCTAGTCGCGGGAAAGGTTACACAAAGCCAACACGACGTATCGGGAATAATCCGCACAACCACAAACCACAAACCACAAACCACAACCACACACACCTCTACCTTTAGGTACTCCGTAGACGCAAAAAGTCAGTCTGTTAGTTTTACTGTGTTGCCAGTTGTCGACCTTGTCTTTCTACCGCGACATATCCCGATTCCCGAGACACACCACATACCCGCCAACCGAGCAAGCCTCTATGCAGTTAGCTGACCAGCATTCTTCTTCACATGGTACTCTCAGCTCTCCCACGCCCGCCGGGGGAAAAGCCTCTTTGTCCCCTCTCGGACCTTCGGAGAGTCTCGAGACCACCTTCTGCAGAATTCTAGCGCGGTGAAAGAAAGAGAGTGTGTGTGAGAGAGTCGAGCTTATTATCCCCCGTGTCTAGAGAAGAAAAAGCCACGCCAAGCAAGGGTTCGTCAACTGGGGTTTGAGAAAAAGTGAGGCAAGCCAAGGCAAGCCAAGGTAAGCCAAGGTAAGCCAAGGTAAGCAAAACCGACATCGGTGGTTCACAACACTGGTAACTCTGCGGTGCGTGAGCACGGGCAAAAGAGACGCACTTGGCCCATCTCGTCGATAGCGCAATAGTATCAATCTACTACATCTGATGTGAGAATGAGACTACTTCGTGTTTTCCAGCTGCCCAGGTATCCAGAAACCTATCTAACTGCATACTATTTTAAGTCAGACTTGCTAGACTAGACTCATTCACTACGAGGCTTCGGCATCTGGGTTTCCTCTGCCCTGGCAGTTGAAATAAAATAGAGCGAAATTTCTCATCCCGCAAGAAGAGCAATATTAGGAATAGTTGGCGGCGCGATGGCCGGGGGGGGGGGGGGGGGGGGGTGCGGTGTGTGGTGTGAGACGATGGGTTAGTGAGAAGTGAGAAACGACAAAACACTGAACTTGTTGAGTTGTTCTGGGCCTCTAAAATTCAGAGGCACGGGTTATATCAGACTTTTGAGTGAAATAGCAGAGAAGATAGGTTATGCACAGGTTTCTTCTCGTATACGCCGGCGACCCCTTCTAGCCTGACTGACAACTGAGACATTTTCCATTGAGAGGAGGATTTCGTACTATCGAACATGTGCGGCTATAGCAGATCCGCAGCCGCATCGCATATGATCTGAGCGGAGCTGCGAGAGTGAGCGAAGACTGAAGAGAGAGAGAGAGAGAGAGAGAGAGAGAGAGAGAGAGAGAGAGAGAAAGAGAGAGAGAGAGAGAAAGGTCAAAGTTGCATCGGAAACCCTGTTCGAGAAGCTACTGGTTTAGTGGTTCCATCGGGAGGATCCCCCCTTCTTCGGAGTGAAAACGGTATCTCTCAACAGACCACCTCCGTTCCCAGTCCTCCAGAGTCCAGACGGGCTGACGAGGGATTGAGGGTTGAGGTTTCCATGGTACCTACTGCAGTACATGTAAGAGGAGGGGAAGAGTGGTGGTATCCGTACTTTGGTCGGGAAGCAATCGGAAACGAGCAAAAGACAAGAAAATTATGGAAATGCTGGTGACGTACCCGGGGCCCAGCGTGCCTGTTACTTGGAATGACCGACGAATCCCCTTTCCCACATCGTCTGGTCTAAACTCGAGTTGGACGACAGCGCATCAAATCTCACCGAGGCACCGCGGAGGGCCGTCTTTTGACGGCATCCGAGCGATTTGCCAATGCCGCGTGCTGTTTCCTCTCACTCTCAACCAGGATATGCTCGGCGTTGACCAAGGTACTCGACAAAACAAAACAAAAAAGTTGAATCTTCAAGACGGCCCGCTAGATTACTCGGTGGATTGAGAGAGACTGCATCGGACGCTCCGCGTGGCTGTTACACGAATGAGTAGGCAGGAAAAGGCAAAAAAAGAAACCATGGGATCCAACCGGCATAGAATCTAGGCTCAGTCGTCGAAGAAGCTCAAGGACCTAGAAGGCTAGAACGTTGAGAATCGTATCACCTTCCGTTTCAAGGACTTACGTAAAGCTCTTAAACGGTATGTCGAGGCCGATGTATCTGTACAGCACATGGACATACATGATACACCATCGTCAATGAATCAAAAAGGTGCCCACATTCGATGCGGAACGATGCCGATACTGCGGAAGACGCCCATCAGACAGCATCGTCGCGTGTCGTTACCAGCGGTCAAAGAACACGCCCCCTGGTATCAGGACTCAGGAACCACCACCACAGCAGTCTCAAGAATCCGAGGAAGTTTCTGCCCGATGGGCGGGCATCTCTCGTCCGCGCTGTTCTCGTTTGCCCGTTCTGTCCAAGCCGACAGCTGTCGTGAGGATCCATTTCCTCACCTCATGCAACGGCAGGCTATGACCTACCTACGTCAACTCCAGTCCACCTCCCCTCTGGGTCCTTGTCTCCTGATGGTGAAAAAACTGCTCCAGTTGCCGTCGTTGAATCCGCTCGCTGGGACGAAGTGTAACCTTGGGGCACGCCGCACGGCAGCATCTCCGTCTGGGGGCACCGAGTGATTGGGTGCCGAGCGGCCAATCCCCTTGCCCCGGCGAATCAGAGGGTCATGTCGTTACCTCTAATGACTGTGGGACAGTATCCGTAAGGATACCGCAAGCCAATTCCCAGCCATGTTTGAGCGGCAGGCAATACAGAAGCGTGCGGGTGCAGCAGCCAACATGCGTATCCGTCCAGACGAGTTACCAACTGTCTCTACATGTAATGGCGATGGGGGCGGCACTTGGCAATGCTTCGGTGACAAGAACATCAAAGAGAAAACTGTGATGAAATTGGCACAAATCCACAATCCTCTCCTGACCATGGGTGTCTTTTGGGTCGGAACAAGGCAGAAGATCTTCCCCCGGTTCGCAGTCTGACTCGCAGAACGGTATCACTTTGCTTGTCCTGGTCTTTCGTGGGAGAAGATGAAATAAAAAAAGAAACGTGGTTTTTCGCAACTGTGGATATCACGCCAAAATCCACTTGTTGTATCGTTTTCCTCGAACCCAGACACGTGCTCGATCGCAGGTGACCATCTCAACAACCCGTTTCATCTCGATAACGCAGACCGAGAGTAGGCGACACATCGTTCCAGGCTGGCCTGATGGTGCTCCGGAGACGGCCCGCATTTGACCGTCTGACGTGGGCGCGGCGAGGGAAGCGAGAGAACCGCGTCTACCGTCCATCCAGCCGCCGGCCGGCGTCCCATGACGGACCAAGGACAGTCAGAAGAGCAACGCTGTCGAGCCACATTCGAGGCGGGCCATAATACGTTGGAACAGAATCCACTCAGGCGAGAAACACCAGGGAAGCGGGAAGCGCACAAAAAAAGCACGCATCAAATTCTGGGCAGATGCAAGGTCCCCTTTTTCGCGTTCGCTCCCTCCCTAGTTGCGTTGCAGATCCTCCTCGACTCCCTCTCCCCTCTTTTGCCGGGTAAAACCTGCAGAAGACAACAAAAAGCCTGCGCGCGGGGATCTCGATGGTCTCGTCAAGTGTTGATGTAAGTGCCAGCCACGGCGCCTCGTAAACGCCTGATATCCACGGCCGTAAAGGTGCCGAACAGAATCGAGAGGGTATCCAGGTGTCGGCCAGCTGGACTAGGAGAGACTCAGAGAGACTGTGCTCCGTTTCCTGCTGCTGAAGGAGAGAGGCCGCCAAACTATCGATTGGACAGCACTGGAGACATGGGCAATATTCGGTTTTCTCCAAAGCCCCCACCGAATTTCCATGGTGTCCAAACTCTTCGATCTCTTGGTTGCCCACGTCAATGATCAACCCAATCTGTCCCTTTCCTGGCAACTGCGACATAGAGTCGGCGGAGTCTCCGTGTCTCTTGGAACCCACTGTCGTCCGTCCGGATCCGAGATACCAACGCCAGCCTAGTCGTCCCAAATCCTGGCCAGGATGCAGCGGCCGCTAAAGTAGGAAGTCTCTGGTCCCGTTTAGCATGGCTGCACGCAGTACATAGCCCCGGGTCCCGGGGTCGTCGACGAATGGGTCCCTCCTTGCCCCTTCTCCTAGGTAGGGACACTGCTCCTCCTCCGCTGCAAGTCAGACAGGCGAGCGGACGACCCAACAGCCCCGGTAATCCTCTGCAATGGGTAGGTGTGCCAGGCCAAGTCGCTTCGGCACCTCGACATACTTTGCGGGTTGCAGAAACGAAGCCGCTCTAGTTGAAGCTAGGCTCTTGTCTCCTGCTTGTCTCTTGCCTCTTTGCAACTCAAATTCTATTCGGTAAATACCAGGGTCGGGGTATACTCCGTCGACTTTCTGAGAGGTTGACGAGACTGAGCGGATCCTCTCTCTAGGCGGCGGGGATAAGGCAAGGGAAGGGGCGTGAAAAGTCTTTCTTGACACCATTTCCAGTCCTGCGCATCGTGCGTGCTGGACGATTCCTGGGAGCCGTGGGCCGCACCAATGTAGGTCCTGCTGCTACTACCGCCTGTGCATGGGTCCTCCGCGCCCGGATTCCTACGGACTGTAGGGCGTCCTACTGGCCATTAGACTGCTTGGGCTATGCCCTCAACCGCAGACAACTCAACCGCAGACGGAACCGTCGTGTCCACGAGTGGCAACTGGAAGCCTGTGAACCTGGTTGCTCACCTTCCATAGATGTATCATCGAAGGCAACTCTTCAGGTGAACTTGGCGCCCTGTTAAACAAGGGAACCTCTCGATTGTTTGCTGCTTGCTCCGTCTTCGCCTACTTGCCAAAGACTATGGTACTCCTGCTTTCAGGGGTGGGCGACTTTACCCAGAAGTTAATCAGAGGCCATTGCTGACGAGGCCAGAAGAGACGACGGGCATGTTACCGGTTGTGGACATTACGAACTCGGTGCTCCGGTAGCCCAACCTTCGTCCCAAGGATAACACCAACCCAGTGTTATTCTGTCCATTCGCTGAGCCGTGGGCACTATGCCGCCGCTTGCTGCACATGTAACGTCAGCTGGACATTCTGGAAAGAAGGCAGAAGACGCCAAGTCGGCTCTGTTCAACTGCGCCTAAGGTTTCTGTATTCCAAGTAATCAAGTTTCCACACGCACCTGGCACCGAACTCGGGGACCCGTGAGTTGAAACTTGAACGGGGCCAGAGCGAGGAGTCCAGTCAAAGCAGAGGTTATCCCTGATGGTTGTCCACTGAAACGCCAGGAACGCTCTTTATGACTTCCACAGAGCCACAACACTAGGCGATGTCATTGTGACATCCCGACTAGCGTTGTCGAAGCCTTCGGGCACGATTTCGGGTAAAGCCGTCTGCATCCCGTCTTCACGGCCACTTGGCTAGGGAACGCTGAGCCAGCAGAGCGTCTGCCGACAGTCGCGACCCATTCGTACAGGGGCGATCCGCAAATTCTTTTTGTCGGCAACTTTTGAAGTATTCGAGTCTACCGCGTCAGCCTGAGAATCTGCAGAGAGCCCCGGAGTATGCGGCCAAACCATACGGCACGCACGTTGCCCACTTGCTCGAGAACAAAAGAGCTCGGCATCCAGGCAACGTTCAACGAGAGGGGTTCAAGTGGTGTCAGCGAATCACCGCCGAGATATAAATAAAGTCCGACTGGGAATAGTGTCATCGCGCCCGTTCTCCCCATGCTCCTGTTCGCCAGATGTCCAAGCATACAAGTCCTACTTGCTCCTACGTCCTGATCTGGAGAAATGAGCAGAAGTCTGCCTATAGGCATGCTAGCCAAGGTGTCGAGACCATATCTGCATGATGCTATGTGTCGTAGATCACAGTTTCTTTTCCCAACTCAGAAAAGACTGCATTCTTATCTTGAGGGGGCGTCACCCTGCCGTCAAGTTAATGACTTACGCCATGCTGCTCTGGCGCCACCGCTAGGATAGCTTGCTTGATGCAGCTACGCGCACATTGGGACCGCCACAGCTTGAGCCAACGGATCAAGGTGCCATTCAACGACAGAGCGTCCCATTCTGTCCCCGGGCCAGCTAAGACATTGGTGATAGCTCATACTCCCCTTTGTCGTCAGTGGGTAGCTCCGGTGGCCAGTGACACAGCAACAGCCCCGTGTGGAGAAGTTGGCAACTACCAAGACTATATCCCGAGATGGGTCATGAGCATCGCGCGATGGCTTCGGTTGCTACTCGTGTAGTCGTTCTTATCAGCACTTCCTGGGAGGCTTCTTATATACTAGAAAGCTTCTTAGATGACGAGTTGTCGAGGCGCCCCGCGAACTGCCCCGAGCATCCGCCCCGTAACTCAAAGACGAAAACGCCTCGGCCGATCCGCCATGGCTGGCTGGGCAGACAATCTTCTCTCTGTCAATGCTGGTCCGGTATACCTGGAACGGGCAAATCGTAATTTCAGGGGCCGTCTATGAGTTTCCACGGCGGCTCAAAGCAGCTCAGGACGGGTCTGGCTTAGACTCCCCGGAACTTAGTTCTCGCCTCGAGGCTACGGTACCGAGCAGAATCCGGGCGTCTATCATGGAATTATTTCGCTTTTGAGGGAAGGTGAAAGCGGAGTCTTAGCTTCGCGATGCTTTGCGCGGTACCTGGAGGTGAGTCGTCCCACCCGACTTGCTGGAGATACCCAAAGTATCCTTCGAAGCAGTTCACACCCACACGCATACCTTCAACGGGCTCTGTCCCACTGTTTCCCGCCAGACTATCATGGGTATCCGCTGTTCCATGTGTAGCGACGTGGTCGTCTCGTACGAGGATCATCGTGTCGAACCCAGGTACAGATACGCGATGGAGATTGTCGAACCGATTTGCGCAGCTGACTACCTGGTAGGTTGATTGGAACTTGTCTCTGAGGGATGATCCAGTAAGCTCCCCCCTATCCATGGGCAAACATCGCTTCGTCGGCATCATCTTGGTCTCGTGCCAATTCGAATTACGGAAAACATAATCGAGGTTACCGTCAGTGAAACATGGAGCTGTACAAGCCAACTCTATAGGCGAGTTGATTTAATAAAGCAACAGAGGTCAGGAAACTTGTATCGGCTCTGACTTGTCCTCAAGTCTCCTGATTGCTTATGTCCGCTCTCGATCCCAAGTTCAGGGTGCATACGTTTGCGTGCTCCAAACCTTGAAGGAGGGGAAGTACGGCGGCGTTGCCTTGTCTGATACAACGTGGCGCGTGGTTTTCTCGCGAAGGATCCTCGACGGCTCGACTCTTTCGAGACGACTCTGCATTAGCTGAATAACCGGGATGGTCAGCGAGACTGAAAAGGCCGGCATGCAGCTGCTGTGGTGCCATGGAGAAGATAGTACATTAGTCTCTGCATATGCCGCCGGTACCCCTCCGCCCGTCACTCCGCATCGTCCTTGTACCGTACCGCAGCATACCATCCAAGCCTGCGGTTATTCGGGACGGCTTCCAGTGGCTGAGTTCTTATGAGATATAGTTCAGAAAGGACCCCTAGAATGACCGCGTGAACGTTGTCGAAGGTTGGTTTAGTGCTTGGTAAGACGACTTCGTTGTACACCTTGGCCTGCGTCTTTGGTGGTGCCAACGGCTCACATCCGTCCCTCCCCGCCTGTCAGGTCGCGGGCTCCTGCAGATCACGATGCCCATCACTGCACCCCTTTGAGCCTCATGGGCGTCCGGATGCGTCTCATGTCGCACGCAGCTTCCGGGGTCCGCTCAGGACGATACCCTGCAGCAAGCCGAAAATTGAGATCCAGCGGCCAGGATCCTTTCGAGCTCGCGTATATTGCAGTTTCCTGTCTGACTTTGACTTGGGAGACATACTTGGCGTATCCACCCAGAAGGTTGAGGGGCCAGCATGTCGCCGAGGAGGGGATAGGACTACCCTCCGCCGGGAAACCCGGGTAGCGAAAGCTGTTGACTGACATTGTAACTCTCCTGTCAGTTTTCATTTTCCTCTTCTGCTCTCTGCAAGCCACATCGATGAAGCAGCCAATCCGCGGCATTTGCTTTCGGTGGAAGCATGGGCCACGGTTAAAGTCATGCTTCGCCTCGTGCGGGTGTATAGTATCAAGTGGGTTAGGAGTAGGGCGCTCCAAGGCGAGGGTCATTGACTTTTCTACATCCGCATGAGAATCTGCCGTAATTAGCAGCCTGCGTGCAGTAAGCATGCATCTTACAACCATTTCGATGTTCTTGTGAAGATGATCCTGCAAGTGTGCAAGGCAGACGTAGGCAACTAGAAGACCTTGGGTTGTTTCCAGAAGCCGAAGGTCCGACCTCGAAAGTATAAAGAGGGCCCTCTCGCAACTCTCTGCTGAACTTGGCTTGCCCATTTCGTGTCACAGACAGACATCCAGCAGTACGACTCGAGCTTCAGCCAGATTTTCAGTACCAACAACTCTCAGCTGTTCAAGGAACACTCTCAGGCTCGAACGTCTCCGAAGAACCATTCAGTATGGACCGATACCCCTGCGTCAACAGATACAAGCACGGCGTCGACTGCCCTGGCTGGGTCAACGTCCATGGAGCACGTTGCGAAGATTGTGTCGTTGTGAGTCAAAGAGGAACCATGAACGCGGAAACAACGTCTGACAAGCTCTCAGTACAACCGGTAGATCGTCAACTCCGAGTCGGTTGAAAGCTCACCCCGTTCACCCCGTCATCCTCGACGAAGTATGGATATTCCAGAAACAGAGCCGCAATAAGGCCACAAAGTCTGCCACCACCGAAGGTGGGCCCGAATAGACGGTCTCGACCATTGTCTAGGCTGTCGCAAAGCCGATGGAACGGACTAGGCGGTTGGCATTTGACAGGACGGGGTGGACGCAGGCGTGGCAGGTCTCAAGCAAGACCTTCGGCCCATCTGAATTGTTCCTTAGTAATTCTTGGCATCAACAGGAGTTTTCATTGCTTGAAAGCATAATGAGTGGTTATCAGTAGCCAGCAATAAACGCTCTTTCTCTTGGATGTTTCTCGGATCGACGAGACTAATGCAAATGTGTATGCTTGATCCGGCGTGTGGCTGATTGTTTCCATGTCGAACATGAGTCGGGAAAAAAGCCATGTGGTACCGCCCGAGGGTATCCTCAATAGTGCAGGCCTTTCTCAGCAGTCCGCGACCTGTCAAGTCGGCCTTGTACCGATAAAGCAGTGCCAGAGCACCGGCGTCGGGGACATTGGCCCTCTGGAAGCTAGGTGAGACCGATTGAAACTCCTACTAACGGCCAGGAGCAACAGCAGCAGCTCGCCACTCTGTGGCAACGACCAGGACAGGGCATGCGCGCAGGCACTGGGGTGCGGCCTTGCATGGGCAACGATCGTGATCGTGATCCTGGCCCTACGATTGTGGAGTGAGAGGGCCTTGATTGGACAGACAAGAACTACTC